AAAAAAAATTATATATAATACGGTACCTGTGGTGTCATAAGGTGGAGAAACCTCAACTAAATCACAACCCACAAGATTAACACCTCGACAACCTCGAATGATTTCCAGACCCTAAAAAAACAAATTTCAAAATATATGATTCTTTACACAAAAGAGTGTCGATTGAGACTCAAATCAGCCATGTCTCTATCTTTAAGTGTGCTTTTAACCAACCCCTAAGGTTAATATTAAACTTTCACGCGCAAAGTCCAAGACCTGCTCTTGGCTGTATCTTTGATCTGTAATGTATAGTACAGTATGCCAGATTAATAGTGTGTCCATTTCCCAAATCACCTGTTCTATATATCGGTTGCATAGTGTGCAGCAAATTTTATGTTTATATGAATACTTGTGGAAGTGTTATTAACATAAAGTGATTTAACAGACCTTCATTGGTTGGTTTAAGGGTGATGGGTGTTTATTCTCAACTGCAGGAGCAGGTTTAAGCATCTCTGAGCGACAGGTAAAGCATACCTGAATGGGTGTGAGGCCAGCAATCTCAGGTGTTCCTGTGCCTGGAGCGAATGCAGGGTCCAGACTGTCTATGTCAAAGCTGAGATAGACTGGTCCGGTTCCCATCTGTGAGCGAACCTCCTCCATGAGCGGGACAAGAGATTTGTGCCAGCACTCCACAGCTTCCACTACACGGAAACCCTGGAAAGACCAAAATGTTGTTATGTTATGTTATGTTTTTATTTACAAGCACGATGGAAGACGTAAAAGAAGCACCGGACTCAAATTTAGCGTCATTATAGAGTGGTGGAACTATGACTTCACTTTGCAGGCCAATGAATATTATACGACATATTACATTCTAATATATGAATTATCTATTCAGAGCATGATTATTGGTAAAAGCATTGTGATACCTGTGCTCGGCTCCACTCATAATTATCTGGAGAATAACCCGAGCCTCTGAGCCCGATCTGAACGACCCTCTTGCAGTCCAGGAGCCCCTCATCCACACAGCGTCTGAAAGGGGTCCCGTGACCAATTTTCTCACCCAGAATCATGTCACTAGTGTCTGCATGGGCATCCACATGTATTAGGCCCACTGGACCATGCCTGAACAGCAGAAAGAGCAGTATTTCAGACTAAATGTGAGTTGGTATTGCAAATTAGGAGGGGGACCTCTTGTGTTT